GGATGCTATAGCTGCCTGCTTTTCACATCCTAACAGCATATCTCAAGCAGAGACCCTTGAGGTTTGATCTGGAAGTTAGGATGGTATTTTCGCAATCTACCGTTAGGCATCTATTTTAACTGGCCACCAGTCCCTCTCTCTTCAGTGGAGAAAGCAGAGATATATTGCTGATACAAATCACACTTTTAAGTACCTTAATATTATTTGATCTGAATTGGCCTTTCAAGGAGCTTGTCTCTGTATGTTAATTTTAAAGGAGGTGAAGGTCCTTCAGCTAAGCTAAGTGCCTGTAGGTGGGTTGCGTGAAATTGTCCTCCCTGTTGCTTTGCCTTATGCTCAGGCAACTCGGTAGGACTAGATCTTGGCTCCCTTTGTAGCTTTTTGGGTTTGAGGGAGAGAATCAGTGAGAGAAAATGTGTTCAAGTATACTGCCATTAAGCACTTAGTTGCTTTATTTTCTGTGTAAATTATCTCCTGTAAACTTCACTTGCCACCTGAACAGTTAGTTCTTTGTGCTCTGGATGGTGACTTCACAGTTCAGGAGAATGTTAAGAACCTGTACTTAAAGTAAGTAAGGTAGTGCTACTGAAATAATGCAGATGGGGGACTGCTGGTGAGATGATGTGTAATGCATGAGGTGGTTTGTCCTCATGTCCACATAGGTCTTGATTATGTATTGCTTGGTAGTGGGTTTTAGGTACGTACAAGTGAATTACTTCTTGGGGACTTGCATACAAGATGTTTAGCTTTGCTCTGGGGCTATCCATGCATTTCTTGGTTCAGAGCACTACTCAGTCTTGGATTCAGAATACAGATGTTGGTCCAGTCAAGTATCAGTCTTTACTGTTTAAGTCCGATTTCCTTAGCATACTTATATGAAGAAGGCTGCAACATCAGGCTTTGAGGCAAAAAGATTTAATTCTTCAGTGGAATGGAGAGCTTTATCTTAGTGAGGTTGTAAAAGTCAAAGCTGGTATTTCTGAATCTGTGAACACGGAAAATGGCAAGGGTAGCCCGTATCTTGCAAATTCAATGATTCTTTATTGTGATGTGATTAACTAGTTGGGAAAAAAATTGCATCATGCCAATTAAAAAAGCAGTACTGCTGGCACATTGTTGTCTATGGCATTGTCTCATGCTGAAGTTTTTTCCCCTCTATTCTTCAGAGGTTTTCACACAACTTCTTGTGTAAATTTGTGTAGAAACACTAAAACAGGCACATGGCTGAGTTGATGGAATTTCTCTGCGAAGTTACTTAGTTTATAGTGTCTCTATTGTGTATTGTTTGCTGTGCTGGGTGAAAGTGCTGCAAGAAATGTTCCTCTGTTGCTTTTCTGAGCACTTCTTTTGACTCACAGAATAATAAAAATGCATTGAGATTCACAGCATAGTCGATTAAGCTTTAGATGCTCTTATTCCCTGGTTTGATGTCTTTTTGCACTATTGTCTTACCTATTTTGTGAAGAACAGACACCAGCTGCTCACCCCTCCAGCTACTGTCTGTCTGTGCTGCTTCTAAAGATACTGGCATGCATCAACCTAAAATCTTAGATTCAAGATAGTTGCTTCCCTGCAGGGTGCAGTTGCCCTCTCTGTCACCAAGGAGAGTGCTGTGTTCTCGTGCTAGCAGAATTGACATTTGAGAACTTGTCTTCACTTGGAGCTGACTTGAGTCTTCTACTTTGGTAGGTCTTGAACCATGCACATAATAATGACTGAGACCTCACGCTTTACACTGGGAAGCAGCTTGAGACAGTAAGAGGAAATACCAGTTTCTAGAGAATTACATCTGTAAATGCAATTAAAATGCATCAGTGCATTAAATAAGTCATGTCTGCAGCTTTTCATTTGATATTTTCTCTGTAAGAATGAGTACTAAGTTAACATAAGGAAATGCTTACTCTAGTAATTACAAATGACAGTGGACCACATTCTTTAAATACTTTACTTGCATCTTCCACTATCCTGTGCTTAAGTGTTGCTCAATGAAATTATAAAAATTAGTTCTAGAACATTGCTTCTGGAGGAGGTTTTATATCTCATATGTATGTGTATGTACATGGTCTATGCCTCTACAGAGATTCTATAGCAGAAATAGAAGTGCTATTCAAAACAGAATTATGAATATTTGGGAAACTGGTCTTAAATATCCAGATTCCAGTTCTCTAGGATGTCTTGAATATTAACATTCTAATATATATTTGGGTCATAATTTATACAAATTTATAATTTTTTTTAGGAAAGTAGTCAATCTTTTTAGCTGAAAAACTGAGATTTTAGCTAAGAGTCTTTTAGCCTTGGAGCTACATTAATGTATAGGCTTTGTGAACTTCTGTCCGAAATGAACATGTGTCCTGCCACTGAAGGTGTTAGATGCAAGGAGAAATATAACAGAAAAAGTTACTTTACTGGGGATTTAGTGGAATCTCTGAAGTGAAAGGCTTACATTTAATGGAAAGGGTCAGGAGTGTTTCCTCAGGCATGGAAAGTGCTACATTACAGTGAAAGCTGCTGTGTTTGCTCTGGGAAGCAAATCTGAAGACTGGAAGTGAACTCTGTTTCTTCTCCCTGGTCAAGACTTTACCAGCAGAAAAGGCTCTCTTACCTGGCTTTCCAGTTTCTCTTCATAAGTCTGCTTATTTCTGTTGTCTTTTGTTTTCCTTGTACCTGAAGTTCTCATTCTTGCCTTATGAGTTTGTATACCCTGCAATCCAAGCAAAACTGCTTGTATCTTCTCAGTTTGCCTGCCTGTTTTAGGCTTCTGGTGAAGTTTTGCAGTGGCTGCAACAAAGAAGTATCTTGGTGCATGACAGTAGCTACATCCAGAACTTAGTGATGCCAGTGCATCAGAACACAAATGGAAAAAAAATCCAGTCTTGCACCTTCTTTCGTAAATGCTGGAAGTCTCTTGTTCCAGGCCACCTAAGAAAATAGCATCCATGATGCCTGGTTATCAGATCCCTTCCTGGTCCCTGATTACCTTATTACTGTTTTCCACCCTCTCCACACTGACTTTTCAAGCCAGGAACTGTTTTCAGCCACTTGAAAGAAGGTTGATGTTTTTTAAAAAAAATATGTACTTCTCACTTCCATGAAAATAGGTTTAAACATCTCATTGTTAAAGTAGTGTGATGTTTCCCAATCCCCCCTTTCACCTGAAGAGAACTTGGAGTATTCCTCATCCCATTTTGAAGGGTGCTTTGTCTATCCTCTGTTTCATCCTTTGCAAGAAGCGAGGATTTTGCTTAATATTTATCCAGCCTTGTCCCACAAAAATGAGATGAAGGAATTGGTATGAAAGTGTTGGCATTGAATGAGGCAAGAGCCTACCTTCTGTGTGAAGGATGTATTGGAAGAGAAGAGGGGATACTTTTGCTGATAGTTAACTTTGGAAGTACCACATTAGGAGGGACTGTTCAAATTACAACCCAGTGACCTGTGGTACATGTTCCTAGAAGGAGCATTACTTTGTTGCTGAGGCTTTTGACCAGAAAGGCAGGAGCATCTTTCATGTGCCACCTGCAAAGAAAAAGAGTAGATATGGAGGCAAATAAAATATGGCAACAGATTTTCAGCTCCTTTGAAATTTGCTTTTTTTTTCAACTCTGGTTTCTGGTTTATCTGGTAAAAATCAGTGTGGTTTGTGTGTGTGTTTTTTGCTGAGGCCTTGTGTTTCAGACTGAAGCTTGGTTTTCAGTCTAAAAAGGGTCTTGTTCCCTCCTGGAGTTTCTGCACCATGCTCTTAAAGGGGAGGTTGGTCCAGTTGAGGTGCTTCCAGAAGGAAGCTTCTGCAAGATTAAAATAAACCTAAAAATAGTATGTTTTAATTATTAAAATCTTTGCTTATGATAGTGAATTATATTTCAGTATTTGAAGTATTAAGTGGGACCTTTTTTCTTAGGTGTAAGTGAAAGCTATATCACTCTTGTCCAGGAAAGTTATACCCGAGATGAATTGTGGTTTTGTACAGTACCATGGGATTCATCAGGCAGTGGTCTGATGATCTTGGTGGGTCCCTTCCAACTCAGGATTGCTGCATCTAATTCTGGTCGCCTGATGGACCATTAATTTAGAATGGATATGTCTGATGTCTGAATCCATGTTACTGGGCAGTTTGTATCATGATGATGCAAAAACTTACTGCATGATGTTTTCTCTACAGTTCTCAGGCTAAGTAGAAGATAAATCACTTCCTTACCTACCTGCTTACCTTATTAGTGGCCAGTATCTACATATGCAATGAGCTGTACTGAATGTGCAATATCTGTAGTTTCAGAGGCTTTCTTTCCCAAGATGATAATTGTAAGTGCTATCAGGATGTACACGTGCATTGTCACAGTCCTTTTTATCCTATTTATCTTGTCATATTTATCTTGTGTCATGTAACCCTATCTGATTTACACGGTGATTTCAGTCAGATGCTGATATTTGGCAATGTAGAGATACAGTGTAGTGGTGTAACAACAATCATTTTAGCTACGATCATTGCTGGTGCCATCAGTATCATGGTGGCCTTTCATGCTGCAAAACCTGAATATGGGCCAAAGAAAGGCTTCTGTCAGCAAGGAATTCAGTGCGTGACTTTTGTATAACCTCATGTAAGTTTGGCTAGAACGCCTGGAGGAAGGTAGGTCTAAACTGGTATAAAGTGAGAGCTAGCACTGCTAAACACTTCAAATGTTTATAGGTGTGCCAGTCTGCCAGCTAAGATGCCATTATTTTCCAAGTCTCTCAGGTTTTTTTCCCTCTCTTGTGGCCTAACTTTTCCCTACTCCCCAGCTTCATGAATGTCTTTCTTCTTTCCAGCACCTGAAAGATTGATTTGTCGTCATGTTAGCCCCTGATGTTGTACATGGTCTGTCATGCGTCCCGTACCCAGCTGCTGCCTTTGCTACGTTAGTACGTGGTTATAGGATAGAGTAGAAAAGAAAATAGGGAAGGATGGCAGAGGAAAAAAGTGCTTAGGTTTACCAATCCTTTTTTAATAGTTCAATAGTTAAAAGTGGTCTAATCAGGCAAGAAGTTCAAGGCTTAAAGAAAATAGATAAACAGTAGTGATGTTAATCAAAACACAAATAAAATTATCAATCTAGTGGGAGCAGAGGTGCTTAAATATTTATGCAGTATACTCTCCCCTCACCTTCCCAGCCTTGTAGTACCTATGGCTCTGCTGATGTAACAACGTGATGGTGGAATGCTCAGGATAACTCATGGCTCCTAACAGCCTCCAGCAGCCACAACATGAGCTGCAGCTAGCTGAAGTTGAATCTGGAGGCAGTGCACAAACAGTTCAGGTGCCATTAGAATCTCTGTTTCAGGAAGCCCTAATGCAGGTGTCTCAGCTGCTCATGATGATCATGTGTAATCCTGCCCAGATGGCTGTGGTCAGCTCGTGCCAAGGATAGACTTGGCATTTACCCAGAAAATCCTTTATGGTAATTCTGAGGTCTTTGTGGTACCCTCCACACTCTTGGTTGACTCGTGTGGCAGGAGGGATTGCAGGGAGCTGTGGAGCAGCAGGGCCCACCACCAACAATCGGCAGAACAACTGGAACTGAGCTGTGTACAGGGCTGTTTCCTAAGGCCTGTCTACTCTGGCACTCTAACTCTAGCAGAACTTACTCAAGGCTAAAATTTGCAATTCTGTATATGGATGCCAGTATTGTTCATTCCAGTTATCAATGCTCAGGAAGGGAGAATACCATCCACAGTCATAGCTACAGGTGACACAGTGATTGATGGGACAGTACACATGGAGCATTTACTGTTGCAAAGCAATCCAAATTGTTTCCTTAGTCACAGTCCAACATATTTAATACTGCCAACCATAAGTACCATATATACTAGCAAAAAAACTAGGCTGCATCTGCAGGATGTGTTGTATAGAGACCTAAAAGTAGTTTCAGGTAACAGATGGCAACTCTCGGTCTGTTATATAAAATTACTTGTAAATGTCAGGAAAAAGATAAAAATAGAATTAATTCAGTCAAAAATTCCTGCAGGGTTAAAGAACATACTGAGATTATATTTGATGGGTAATAGGAGTGTTTGACAGGAAAATTATTGCAGTGGACCCACTGGCTTGAAACTAAGCCTACATAGTAGAAGAGGAGGGCTTCCCCTGTCTTCATCTCCTTTGGAATTTGTCAATTGAGTAAAAAGATGTGCAGCTTTTACCTCCAAAGTGAACACCAGTGTGGGTCACCACACTTCAGTTCAGTCATGATGCACTGAAATCCCAGAGTTCTCAGACTAAGCCAAGGTAGCAAAGACTGAGGTGATTTTACCATCTTTACTGACTCTGCTTTAGTCCCAGCTGTTACTCAGAATACTAAGATTTCACTACTTTTGCCCCTTTGTGCTTTTGTTTCTCCTTCTTTCTTTTCTAGTCCTTCTGATTTTTTCTTTATGTTAATCAAGTCTTATTTAATTAGCCAGAAACTTGCCTTCTGCAACCTTGTGACCAGATACAAAGCAATGTCTTTGATGTTATAATATTTTGGTGGAGTTTGAAGTGACTGAAAGATGACACACCTTTTCATTAATAGTGGCTGGTATGGGAGAGCCTAGTAAGACCAAATGGCATTTTCTTATTTGTTTAGTATTCAGGTTTTTTTCCTCCCTTTCTTTCTTGTTATGCTTGTACATCCCTTTCGGCTTCACACCGTGAATCTCTAAGCTATTTCAGTTTTTTTTCCCATCCCTAAAAATATGTTAACACTATTACCAACATTTTGGTTTGTCAAGACTGTGAAAACAGGAGTGTTATTTCTGTTCTATATTTTGTATTTATAAAATAATGAGAAAGGGATACAACTGAAGATCTAGGTGACCCTTCAAATAATTTAACTGGGTAGGACTTGCTACTGCATCGCCTGCTTTCTTTATAAAACACACATTTCTATATTCTATTCTGCAATGCAATTAAGCAGGATGAAATTGCTTGGCTCGTAACCCTGACATTTCATATGGTACAAGGCAGCATCATGTTAGCTCCTTTGTACTCATAGACCAAGGTAGTCACCACAGGGACTACATCTCATTAAGCAAGGATTAGAAAAGGGGCTGATGTAGTTCCCTTGAAGTGGACTTCTGTTGCATAGCTTCACTGTACAGAAAGAAAGCTATTAAGCTGAACAAAGTGATCTTCCCATCATACAGCACTTGATTATTGTATATGGATAAACTGATCATCTTAATTCAGAAAGAAAATGGGAGTATTGGAGAGAATTCAAATAATGAAGTGTTTGGGGAAAAGCTGTTAAGACACACAATATACATAGTCAGCAGATCAAAGAAAAGGATGGAAAAAATATAGCACTTATATATGGCAAAGTACACTGATTCTGGTGACCTTTTAATAAGATATATATATATAATTAATATATATAATATATAATAATTAAGTCACAGAAGATACAGCTGTATCTTATGCTATTAATTTATACATATGAGCAGTTGATTCAGAAAAGTAGTAGAATTGAAGCATGCTATAGGTCTTAACAACTATCTCTGAACAATGCACAGTGATCCACATTTGATGTTTGACATTTGAAAAAGTTATATGGCTGTCGTATAGAACAAGTGATGACAGTGGTACTGCTTGGCCAAAATAGTGCCTGGGAATGACTGTCTTCAGCATCAAACTCCATGGCTACTTAGTGGCTTAGCTTTTGTAATGATTTCAAAGCCTGGTCATCAAAACAGTCAGCTCTTTCTACTTGGTGCTCTGGGCCCTGGACCGCTCTTTCTTAGGAGGCAGTAGTCCTGCCATCCTTGCTGTACTTAAATTCCACAGTCCACTGAGTCCAAAAAAGATAATTACTATGGTGATGGTCCTTCTCCTCTTCCTGTAGTACACAAATTTGCAGAATGCCTATGGCTATTATTGATTATTCAGTCAGTGTTTTCCTTTCTCTTTTCCTCTTGTGATCAAATAAAATCCAATCATGAACAATGCTCTTTTGCATTATTCTACACCACTGTTTCCACTACGAAATACAGTTATTGCATGCCTGCAACTAGTGTTTCCTTGGCTGCATATCCTGTTGCCTTCATCATTCTAGAAATCATGCTAAACTTATGTTCCTGATTCTGGTTTACAAGGCACCTCTAGCTAGGGACATTCTTTTGGCCTTTAGAATGAGTTGATTCTTTCTGTGATGACACTGAGTCATCTTTAGTGTTGTCATCTGTAGTGTGGTCATCTAAAGTTATCTGACAAGTATGTTGGTCATGGAATGTGCTCAGAGTTGTCCAATCACCAAACTGTTTCTGGGTCCTGTCTTCCTTCTCTGCATCTGGGCAGCCTTCTGCCTCCCACTGGCAACAGGACCCAGCCATAGCTTTGTCAGCAGAAGCCTGGGGTCCTTAGGTGTCTTTTCCTTCTAGCTGTAGCAATGTCTGCCCATCCTAATCTGTACAGAGAGAGTTATTCTATTCCACTCCTTTCTTGAGCAGCTACTGAACTCATTTTCCTCTGCCTGTCACCAAAAGCCAGGCTTTGCCTATAGGGTGGTAGTGATTGAAACCCACTCCCTGCGATGATTGGGCAGCTGCTGCAGACTTACCCAAAAGGTTACACAGCTACTGCTCTAGTGACCTGGGAAGGGTGAGGAGCAGTGGCTGATACTGAAAGGCACTCCTCTTGTTCATTTTTTCACAGCCCTGCAGCTCTTTTTGCCTGGTTTTATATGCTGGAGTGTGAACTCACTCAGGAGGTGTTATGATGTCACCATAAAGGAAAAGGGCTAATCAGAAATTCTCCACAAGTTACAGTCTTTGCACTACTGATTGAACTGTAGGTGGAATGGGGGGGTGGGGTGGGGTGTTTATTTTGTTGTTGTTGCTTGGGGTTTCTTTGGTTGTGGTTTGGTTTTGGTTTGTGTTTTTTTTTTAATAATTGGTGAACACCTAGTGTAAATACTTGTTGGTGTCACAATTTAAAATCACTTCTTACAAATGGAGAGTTTGTATGCTATGAGAAAACCTCACTTGCTTGACAGTGGGACTGTGTTGACAAGTAGTTTACAATCATTTTAGTGTCTTGGTGTGGTTTTAACAGAATACTTCCTTTGCTTTCACTGAAGCTTCTCTTCCTTTGCTGTCATCATTGGCTCTGGTTATGAATAGCACATTGCTTCTCTTGGGGTGCTTATTCAAGTACAGCTGCAAAAAAACCCCCTCAAACAATCTAGAGTTCTCTGCTTCAGGAAAGTTAGTATTCTCAAACACTTCCTTTGTTCTCCCTTCTTTGTTCTAATCTTAATTCCAGCAGGTTTTGGTTTCCATCTTCATTCAACAGTGGATATTCCATGTATGTTTTTTGGCTATAGAAGGCAACTAGGGAATTCATGGATCCACTGTTGGTATGGTCAGTATCCCTTTGAAGTAATACAGATCATACGCTCCATTTACAGAAGCATCTGAGCTGCTGCTACAAGCAAGAAACTATCACTTAACGTGGGCCATTAGATCAATCTACATTATGATCTGCTTTTCAATAAAAACAAATACAAAAAAGTTTTGATAAAGGCTAATTTCCTAGATTTCTCCTTCTTTTGTATAGGAATGATACATTTAAAGTGCCTGCGTTTGTGCCAACAGATTTTTCTCTTAACCTAGTACTGAGAAATTGCTCTTCCTCTCCAAGGACCCTCCTCTGTGGTCTGCTGTAGGCTAACCAACTAAACTGAATCTCAGCCTTTTTCAACACTTGAAAGCTGCCATTCACAGAATTTTTCAGGAAACATGGACTGAGATTTTTTCAGCTGCCCAAAGTGAACTTGGGAAACCAGTGAGAGAACAGGGACTCAAACACACTGGTACACAGATGGGTCTGGTGGTTTGGAAGTAGTCTGAAGCTATGCCAAAAATTACTAACCATTTCTATTAAACCTGTATGTACTCGTATGAGTCTGCAGTCACCTGCCATGGTATTGTGACCTAAACCACAGACTAGTGCGTTTGCTGTATTGTTAGGCAGGATTCTGAAACCTGATACTAAACCTGACTGAGAACATGGTTTCTTGTTTGTAGTTCAGGTGTGTTGCTGTATAATACCACTTGTTCAGCTGCCTTTGTATTTCTAGTAAGAGCCTGTAAAGCTCTACTTTGTCTTAAAAGATACAGGAAAAAGGTAAAGGAGCAAATAATCTCTCTGTCTCACTGTCATACGGAGGTTATCAGAAATCCCTGTTCTTGTTATCTACAAAAACAAAAGAAGGAACTGCTTGAAAAGCAACCCATGCACTTATATTTTCTCCCACTCTCACCTTTTTTTTTTTTATCCACT